AGGGAAACAGTGAAATTGAAAAACAAGTCAGCTGCATTTCATAAGAACAGTTAGACCAACACCACACATGCCACATGGCGTACGGCAATTTATGATCGTAACGACAACACAAACGATAGCAGTTAGTTTTTCTGGGCCGCTGTTGCCTCTCCGAGCCACCCAATGTCGAAATGCGTTCCATATAATTACTTAACCCAGTACTATATACTAGGATTGTTCTTGAAGTTCAGCAAAATCTAATGCTTCTACGTTGACCAGCTCAAAATATGCAGAGCTTCGATCAAACCACTTCTCTCGAGTAAGAAGGATACGAGGTAAGTTTGCCATAGATATATAGAGTAGAAATATCGAGTCTGCGTTTTGTATTAACACACAGCAGTGTGAGACATCAGAACAGTTAGTTAGTTGTGCCGACGCGGAAATTCGAACGCAGCTCTTATGCTTATTTTGGTTACCGCTCATATAACTGAACACATGGAAGACACTCAGTTCGCAGACGACAAGCTGAGTATTACGGCGCATTGTAGAATTCCGCACTGGGACTTTACCCAATTGGCTACGCTCGGATATTTATAGTAAAGGGCCTGCGTAATACGATTTCCTACAGTTAATAATTCCAGGTGTAAGTAAATTCACGTTTAATATTTCATATAAAAATAGTTCACTTATATGACTAGCTGCTATCATTCCCCGTGGTAAAAAAAACAAAGCTGCGTAACGAAACGCACGGTGAATGGTATTTACTGAAGAGAAAACTCCTATAACATTAGGGTTTACCGTCCCCATGTTCTTATCGCTGTTGTTCTATGTTATGGGCGGGTAGGGGTCACATGAGACAGGATGCTGCAGTGACAAATAGCGCCATTATCTACGCTACGTTTTTTGCGTAGATATTGTAGAAATATTGTAGAAATTGTGCTACGTTTGTAGCGTCTACCAAAACTCGAGTGGACTGCACCTTTGGAATCAAGGAAGTCAATTCGTACGCTTTATGCGACGCTCAGATTTACCTTCTGTTAAATATAAATAGGTTGTTGTTAGAGTATATCAGTCCAGAGCGATAAAAGACATATTGGCAGGTGTTTATTTACTGTAATTTTGTGACTAGCAAGTTAAGATTTACTCAATCAGATCTTTCTGCTGCTCCTCGACACAGTAAGTTACTTCCCGAAACTCACTTACAAATAGTTATTGTACGACACCCGGGTAATATGTGTGAGTTAGGATAAAAAAAAAGAGTGCTCCGACCGTTTGCGAAGCGAAAAAAGACATTGTATCACGCGTTAACCACTAATCTGACCGAGACCCAGCCAGCTCATATTGCCTGCTGCATACGCCTTGCTGTTTGTAACATCAAACTCGACCACATATTAGTAATGACGATCTAGCGGCTTAAATGCATGTGGCATTGCGCTTATCGGTCACTGATACGGCGAGCGATGCCCACCGGAACGGCCGAACATTTCTGTATCATAGGACTGTCATATATGACATACTCAGCGACCTCAGTTTTTACCTGGTCGTCCTTCCCGAGTTTCTGTTAGCGGACCCAGTGCTGCCGCAGCTTGCCGAAGAAAAGGTTATACTCAATAGAGTAGTAACCCCGATGAGTTTGTAGCTCTTCTGACATAGGCACTCCCTTTTGTGGTGAGGTTCGCCAGTCACCAAAAGTAATGCAGCAGCTATCAGAAACATGCATTCACAAAACAGAGTTCGACACTTACTGTTGTTGACAGTTGAGATGTACGTTTGAGGCGACCATAGCCGAGCAGTTCATGATCATAACAAAAAATAGTCCGCACTTGCCTACTTCAAATAGGTCCACCAGGCTAATATACAAACAGATTGTGGTTCAGATACCAGACGCTTTTTCTCCTTTCCCTTTTTGTAGTAATGTTCATTATATTGTTATATTTCTGAAAAATACTCGCATTCAATTATTACTAGTTTGCGCCGAGCTTGTAGAAATCCGCTGAAATAGGATGATGAACGAGATCGTGATGCGTAGTATATGTTCTGGGGGCGAATTCTAGTCAGTGCATTCCCCTGCCCCGCACCTCGTTTAAAAAAGTGAATAGAACATGGCTGTTATACATATACAATATAGTAGCTTTTACGACGTTCTGACTTCATAAAGTAGCGCTAAATGGTGCTACATGTTTATTAAATTTCCCCACGATTTAATTTGTTTGCATCTGTTAATGTGCGTTCTCACATCGTCCAACCTAGCGTCAAATTTGTATGATACAACAGGAGTTAAAATTCACACAGTAATATCTTTCAGCTTGTCAGGTCTCATTTTGGGGGTTCAGCTTGTTTTGACATTATCTGTATATGCCGCATATGTCGAGGCCTCGTGTAACAAAACAATGGAATTTGTGTATTACTTTTTTGCAAAGCGGTACGGACCAGAACGTAATTGCCATATTCCTATGCCCCTTCTAATTTCGTTGATCTATAATAGAGTTAATGGAATTTTCGATTTTTTGTACATCACGTACATGTACGGAAGGACATCATCATAAGGGCCAAAAGATCGCCACAAGGATTTTGAAAAGTTAATTTTGACAAAGCAGAAATGATGTGTTGTGTAAAAACATATATATATATATGTATAATATGCTTCAATGCTATTATGGACAAGTATTTTTATCGACACCATGCTGTTCTCTGGCCTTATAGCTAACGGTAGAATGTTAACGGCACGTTTTAACGTTAGGCAATTATTAAGCATTTTATGGAATGCGAGTGGTGCATTCAATCCGTTTACACGTAACACTAGGCCATTCCAGATCGACCGGCAGGGGCGTTAGTGGCAACTGCCGATTTGTCTTTGGCTAGTTCACCTTGGCCCTCGTTGTCCTTAAACTTCTGCAATGGCCAATAGTAACAGCAGAAATTATGCGTTACCTGAAATCAATCAATAATGAGTAGAAAAGACGATAATGGGTAGGCGGAGTTAATGGTTGAATATGGCGGAAATGGGATCACCTTGGGCAACGACATTAACGCATGCTTTTAGAATATTGCCGTCCTCGGAAGAATGACAGAAGAAGATAGTACGTACGAGTAATTTGGAGGTAAAAGGGGCTACGCGAGGGAGGGGGGGGGGGGTAATCAGAGGCTCGCTCGTTCTCTCATTGGATGGTGAGTATTCGTGGGTGGGTGCGTGAACTGTGTTCACGTCATTATATGTTGACGAACCTTACGGTACCATCTAAAGCGGAGTAGGGAGAAGCACGCTGGGGTAGGTCTACGAGACGAGCAGACCGGTTCGAAGACTTTGGTCTTTGTGAAGCGATAACTCTTCGATACCGTTCTGGATGCACAATCAGCGATTGGTAATGCAGATGGCAAGCTGGAAACACTGTGAAGGCAGATTATGCTAACCTGGCCGCGGGAGAGGCAACACGAATAGGACGGGGTTTAAGCCTGTACGGACGAGCTACTTTGTCCTTGCTGGTCGATATGAGCGTGTACATGCTGCTGAATAATTTATTCAAGACTACGGAAACCAAATGCGGCTCATACAGAAACGCATATCCAACGTATATTCACGAACTAAAAATGACAAAGTGCTTTTGTCGCAATTGGATTTTTTAATGTGCGGTTCAAGGTATTTTGATACTGGTCTATCTATCTTTTTGGCTAAGTAAAAAAACTAGAAACAGGCATTACGTAGGTAGAAAAGGAAGCGCGCGCAAGGCTCCCTGTTCGGATGAACTTTTAGTTCAATGCATTAGCAGTACTCAGGCTTAAATTTCGAAGCTTAGAAACAGTGGGTTAAGCGTTTCGTCGTAATGCGTGGCGATTCTTCAGCCCAGCTTGATACTGTCGACCATGTCAGGATCGAAACTAATAGCCATATGGCTAGTATATGCATCGACATAGAGAGCAAGCAGCTTAATATAATACACCTTAGGCAATAACATTTAATCATTAATTAGTCTATACAATACCTAAATATCTTGATAATATAATAGGTAGGTCATTTATGTCGCACCCATCCATCGACTTCGGCACGATCGAAACTTTTGTCCGGCATTACCTTAATAGTGATGGTTATATCAAACTCTGCCACAGCAGATAGAATCTAATTACTGGCATACTGCTGATCCAGTTTATCCATAGTCAGCCTTTTCTGAGGCGGCCTTATTTGTCCGGGAAACAAGCTAACCGATCACAATATGATGAGACTGAGCAAACCTTCTGATAAACAACTTAAAACACCAGTAAGTATTTCGAACATGACAAATATGGTGGATAGATTGATCGTTCTAATCGTTTCATGTATAGGTATCACAACATAGCGTCACAACAATGTCGTAGATCATAAAACGTATAAACGTCGCAGCATGGTTGAGCCGATTTAGGTAAACAGCATTGATTTACGCTCTTCCGTAGCGAACACTTTCAGAGAGGCCGCTTCAAGATGATTGGAAATCATAGACTGTACAATGTTTAAATGTGAAAAGATCGATAGTTGATCGTTAGTGGTTGTCAAGTGTAACAAAGCCTGAAGCGCACTCAGCAACCCCCATCAATGCGTCGTCAATATATGAAGACTTTCTGCATGTAGCACACTTCCTGGGAAGCTTGGTCGGGGGCTAAAACAGTTATGAATAAGCAGGTGATCTACTTGTCGCTAAAGCTTATAGAAGTAACTGGATATTGCCAGCCCAATAGTTCGAGTATTATACGATCGTTTGTAAGTTTATGAAGGTATTGTATCAGTTTAGTGTGATTATATCTTATCTAGAAAACTGGACACAGCAAGATCCTAGTAAGGACATTTTCTCAAGTTGGAAATGCAGCCTGTGACTAACTAGACGATTAGTGAGCGATATCGATCATATGCTACTAGTTTCGCCTTATGGAACAACAAGGCTTACTATTATTGTTGAACTATTATTGTTATTATATGCTTTAACTTTCGCTTTGGCTGACGTGACGCTACGCTACTTACTGTAGGAATTACGTGATTGCCAATCGCATTTCAGGTAGAGTATACCCACGAGAATCATTCATCGGTGGTATCTGCTGAAGACGCAAAAAATGTTCGAACTGTTGTGAAAGTTTTTCTAGCCCCTGGAGATGACGACGCCCTTCGCCAGGCGGTTGAAAAAAGTACGTAAGTTAACGCCTATTTTATGTGGTCGATGAAAGAGGTTAAAAGCAGTTGTCGGTAAAAAGTTGAAATTGGACTCGTGACATACGTTCGCTTATCCTGTAACGACGGCGTCGCAGAGGTCGGCTTCGGTGATTAAAGTAGGGAAGATGGAATCACGATTACCAAATGAATATTTAACAGGTGATATGAGAATCTGTTTAAGTGATATAGACAAGGAAAGTATCCCATGTTCAGCGCATTCGGCTGCTCTGTTTTTCCCTAGTATAAATGTTATTGCGTAGAGTTTTATGTGTATCACATACACAGTGGTACGTCTATTGGCACGCTCTTATAATAATAACGCCAACTAAATGCGCTATGATTATTATAAGAGCGTGGAATGGTGAACTATAATTTGTTTATATGTTCGTTACACAGTTGTCACACACTTATTTTGATGTAGACATATGCTTCACGTCATTGTTTCCACACGGGGCAGTAGCATCACCCAGCATAACTACGAAAAAAAAGCTAGATGCCAAAAATATGTAAGTACAGCGCACCTCGGGAAGTTGCAACAACGCCGTTACCGTGCTATATTCCTAATTGTTTTTTTTATTTTACACAAGTAGGTCAGGTGTGTGCCACCTTCGATTTATAGTGCTGCTAACGCGTTTGTTGCTATTTGGCTATTTTAGTTCAGTTCCCTCTGCGTTCTCACTGCTCCTTCGATACCCTATCAATTTTATCACAAGTTACGATCGTTACATAGCCTGTCACAGGCAATCTTTAGCGTCGATGGGCAAACTTGTGGCAACTAATCGCTCTGTCCGTAAATCGTTTTTGGTCACTAATCAGGTCAAAAACGATAGTAAACTCGAATACATGTAACTTCAATAGTCAGTTATTAACGACCAGCGTTGCGTAATTTCTACATAGAAAGTCGTCGAAGTTTGAAATTATTAAGATAAGTTAATGTAAATGAAAATGCTAATACGGATAACGATACGAGACAAAATCGCTCAAATACGGATTTGTTAAATAGTACGTTTACGTACACACACTACATAACGGTCTAGTGGGTGTCACTTACTTCGGCAGAAGTTAACGTGATTTGTTGGAGAGTTGATTGATTAGTTCTGCATCTCACCGCTTGTCCAGCCTATTTGAGAGTTTCAATATGGTTCGTTTTCATTATTTTCGCAGCTTTGTCCCAGTTGTGTCTACAACGAATCGATCTACTTCTGGTGGCCTTCGCCCACCCCACTGGCAGTCACAAGCTCGAACTGCATCATATGCAGCCCACCTGGAGCGTATGCGAAAGCCTTGTTTCACAGGGTACCTAATATCATTATATCTATTATAGAGATATGCTTACTTGGCAATCTATTGCGATACCATATTTTGTGTTTATTATAGCTATTAGTTGTCATTATAAACATGTTACTGTTAGAAGCGACTTAGCGTTAACCCGCCCAGTGTATTTTGTTGAAAATGTTTTATATAGATCGTAACAGGGAAGCCACTGTTTGCTTGTGAACATTTGTCCACAGCGTACAGAGATAAACGAATCTGCTTAGTCTGGGAACATCATGTATGTTAAAGCCATATTAAAATGTTTATGTCATAATGAAACTGCCGTCTCCAGGTGTAGTGGGCAGCGCGGGTGTTGCCGACCTTGACGTCACTCAGCTTCGCGACCTCTATCAGTGGGCGTCGAAACGCGTCAAGCCGACAACGAATCAACTGCACTTCGAATCGGCCATCGCCCTATCCGCCGAGATGACAGAGTTTGCCGCTGAATATAATATTCAACTCTTGACACACGCTGATGAGATAGGCACTGCAGGACCTGTTAACGTAAAAAGGATGCTTGATGGATTCAAAGGCACGTTTCCGCTCCAAGTTCATTATTTGGGTCATGGACGAAGCGGTGATTTCTTCAGTGCGTCCCTTGCGCAGTCTAGCGAGATTTGGCTATGAAGTTGCGCGTATAGCGCTTGATATGCTTTCTACGCAAAAAAAGAATAAAATTATTCTGTTTTTTTTTTTTCACTTATAGATGATGCTGACAAGTGGCATTGCTCGTGGTTGACGCGATACACGGTCACCTTCCGCTGTCGGGGCGTTCTCCACTCAAAGGGCTACATCGCTAAAATTGAACGTGACATCAGCACGCAGAAGACGCGTGGTCCCCAATGAACGAGATATATCCGAAAAGCCTCCAAGGAAGCCGAAATAAATATACTCTCCGTAAGGCAAATTGATAACAGGACTTGATAGTTGTTGCGGGAACTGAAGCTAAGGTTTGTAGAAAGGATCGCTTTAGGTTTCTCGCAACGCAGATAATAAATGATACTTTTATTACGGACGCAAGAATGACAGTATTCCATGCTAACTTTTTTTTTTCGATACGATCAGTAACTTGTTCGATGTATTGGATAAATGAGATGGACTGTTTGCATTTGTCAATAGTACGCGAGCTAAATACACGCAGTTTTGATAAATTCGATTTTGACTTATTTTTTTGGTGCTTTCCTGTCGCTTGAGGGTCACCTTGGTCAAAAGTAGGGATTCCAGCGCCAGGTCTTGCTGATTTTGTCATAATGTATCAGGTTTAGATGAGCGCACCTAAGTGGCAGCCCATGTAGGCAAAAACATGGAATAGAAAATTACTATTTCCAAAAATAAGCTTTCTGTTCAACAGAAAAGTTGTGCGTAATTGACTATGAAGTGCAAGCCATCTCTAATTGATCACATGACATGAGTTGCCAGGTGGATACGTCGATACGAAAATCCAACGGGGCAGATGAGCGAACACTAGGTGAAACCGGGGATCATGTACAATCTACATCATTTACTCTGCCACAAGCTTTCCACCCAGGATTCCAGTGAGCTATAATAGATCGCTGACGATGCATATATACGGACGTCCAAAAGAGGTTTATGCCAAAACAACAATTATATAAACAACATGTATTGTATTTCATAAAATTCGCTTGTATAATTCGTATTGCGCTCGTGTGGACATACTGCCATAGCCTGTTTAATTAACATTACATACGTGATTGTAACACATACGCTGGGAGCTAGCTGGTGGATGATGTCGAACGCATAACGTTACGCTAACAAGAAACCTTTATTCAAAAAAGATCGATTTTCGCGCGAAAAACTTTACCCTACTTTATCTAAAGGCAACGTTTTTTTTTTTCGGGTAGTTAGAACACAGCGCCACATTTCGCCAAGGACCAATAGGCTGGTTAATCACATGTATGTAGCGTACGTTAGTCATGTTAAATACCAGTTAAAAACCTGTGTACATTTTACTCTATATTTGACATAATAAGAAAATAATTGACACAATCTGATGAAAACATAAGGAAAAAATCATCTCACTTAAGCAGAATTTTCATACAGCCAATTATCATCGATAGAAGCAGCGGTTTGTAGGTCCTTCTTCTACTATTATCTATAGATTTAGATGTTCTAGACGACCTGAGAATAAATAAAGGACTATAGACCAAACAGTTGGTTATGATGGTGGTGAAATGATACGATAGTAGCAACTGTATGAACCGATATCTAAAGTCAACAAAAGTTATTCCTTGAGCAAAAAATTATTAGACACATATAGCAGAAATGAAGAACGAGCTAGTGGACAAAACCACTTCAATACAATGAATGCTTTGATCGTGCTTCATTTTTTCGGTAGAAATGTCTATTCCATGTGTAGACTATATATATATATATCAAGAATCCTTTGTTATTTAAGGATTGGTCCCGTGGTACACTCTTCGCATTTTATTCCCTTTAGGTTGCAAAAAAGGTTCTACCTGATTGCTTTATACCGCTGAATTACTATAAAAATAGTAGAAATGGTAAGGCGATGAAAGGTTACGACAATTATCGTTTGATATAAATACTAGGAATATATCTGAGCTGTCAGACTATGAGAACAGGTTCACAGGATTTGATTAAAAGTAAAACAAGAAACTTGCGAGCTAAGTGGCAGCGTCCCTTTGAGCAGAAACTTACGTCGTTCATAAATTTACATGTATTACAACTTGATCCGACTAAACGCTCATCTAACTAAGCGTGACAAATTTTAATCAACGTAAATGGACGCAGGATAATATTGTGTTGGCAATACGAATGAACTAGATCGTTTTTCTTTTTGTTAACCTGTGTTAATTTCTTAATTTTTTTTTTTTTTGTTTATATACGCAATACTAGATTTACGAAACTGTACGAGCAGGTATTACATACAATAATCATTTTCATCAAAGAGCATTGCGAACGTTATTGTTAAATAAATACATTATGTCGGCACTAACGATATGCGTACAGATATGAAACGTTAGAAAGCAGAGTCGAGCTAGACGGTGTTTGCGTGGAAATAAAGCAAAACGGACCCGACGAAGAACAGACAATATGTTGATTCAGCAAAGGAGAACAAGACGGGCCTTTGTGATTTATAACAGTTTCTGTTAAATTTATATATATATATATATATATATATATATATATATATATATACTGCGTAGTACACCACTTTGATTTGCGACTTATCGCTGAAATGTAGACACCGTATGAAATATGCTATTATAAATACTTCGTTAAAAATATTGGCATATTCCTAGATAACAATAATCGTTGATAGCGACTGCGCGATCGGCCAGTTTCCTGAGACGAAACGAGTGATAAATGTGTAAATACGATGTCCTGATTCCACGATCCTTAACTCGAGAAAGATAAGTATTGCAGCTATCGAAAAGCGTATACATACAAACAATCAACTCATTGAACGAGATAGCGGACAGAAAGATCGATCTCTTTGTAGAGGTTTGCTGAGCACTTTACAGCGAGGCTTCACGTCACAGTGTTCGAAGTTTTCATTATTTAAAACAAGCAGGCTATAGGTAGGCTCAAACCCAAACGATACGTTTTTTGCCAAAGTAAATCGACTGCTTCGTGCGTATAGTACGTGCTCGATGGCACATGAAGATCGCTTCGGGTTCTGTTCTCCATGGTAAAGATTAGCATTCTAAATCTTCCAATCGGCTTCCTCGAAACATTCCAGTCTCCAGTATCCGCTCAAGAGATATGGCTATGTAGGCGCAAGCAAATAAGCAAATGCCACCTTTGTACGACCTCCCTTACTATGAACCTATCACATTGATACGACTCCCTTTCTACGGGTAACTCTGCGATAGGTATTCGAATCGGGAACTCGTACTTCTCAGTATTTATAGGTAGATGAGGCTGCTCACATTAGACCCTAGCATCGTACCTTAGGATTTAATACGACACACCGTGCGCGCATTAAACAGCAGTAGTGACAACAAAAATTCATTGTAACTTCGAGTTTATTTAAATTTATTAAATACGCATATACAAACATAGATACAGTAATGACGTATGAGTAATCATCGCATCACTATTAAAGCTCGTAAAATAGACGAGGGGCATATAAAGGAAAAATTGGGACTAAAATATATCACTGTCTGGTACAACTGGAAGACACAATTTATGCGATGATCCATACTGCTCAAAGGGCAACTGCCAGCAACTGTAAGACGTTGACAGAATTGCGCTTAATTCATGGCTTCACTTAAGTTAGCTGTTTTTGTAACTAGCTTTTTGAAGGTATAGTGATTATTGCCTTTAGGAGACTCGACACAACTCATCTACGCACTAACGCAACGCTCTTCAACCTATTTTACTGCAGGGCCATTTTACAGGTGACGAGAAAAAAATTGAAGAAGTTAGACATTGTAAGGCAGTAATTAATTACTGATTAAATAGGTATAAAGGTTACTATTTACAGCTCTGGATGTTACAATAAATTTGCTAAGCTAAATTTGGTCCATTCGAAAACGACTTCTCGTTGCTTGTCGAAGGCAAAAGTCTCATTGCTAAAAATAGCGGCTTTTTATTGCAGGCTTATGACTGTGAAGATTTTTCTCTGCAGTTTGAATCATTTAGAATACGCGATGCTTAGAAATCTAGACAACGGGCTGTCTAAAATAACCAGGGTCTGAACTGCTAATTACATCGTATCTTCTACCGCAAACTGAAACGTTTAGGAAATGTAAAGAAAATAGAGTGTAATTATTTTACCGACAATTTATTAGCGGTCCATAATTTCAAAAAGCATTCATTGCAGGGAAAGTTCTCTCAATAAATTGATGGCAATTACTCACCTAAAAGATCATTAGTCATTTTTGCCTCATCTTACCATTGTATTGCTCTCGTAAAAAATTTCGGATTAACTCAGACTGTACACGCGTCACTATTGCACGTAGCATGACATGTCGGTCAGCGGTCGGGTCGCCACGTATTTTTCTAACGTTAAATTTTGTTCGGCATTTTTTTTTTCGAAATGACTCTTTTTTTTGTGTGCGGCTAGACAGTGCTGAATATGTTTAGGCGATTACATTTAGGTCGCTATATGTCTGTGCACGTTTTTATAGAAACGTAGTATTCGTGCAAAAAGCTGAACTTGGTTGTCGTTGTACATAAGTCAGTCTTAACCATATCGTCCTGGTAAAAAATTTCGTCCGAGAGCCAGCACGTAATGTATATTATGGTTGAAACACGCCATAAACTCAGTGGGAAGACTTGAAATTAACTTTGAAAATAAAAAAGTTGAGAGCCGGTCGCATTCGTAACTTGTCTTCGGAAATCGTGCGCTAATAGCATGCTCAAAACACCACATCGGGAACCTTAGGTCGTCTTGACACAGATAGCCGAAGTCCTATCAGAGAAAAAGAACCCACAGACATGGAATACATTATGCGTATTAATTTATTCTAACCCTTATTAAAGTAATGTATCAATCATGGGTTACAGGTTGTCGAAGCAAATGGGATAGAAGAATAACGCTTGAAAATCTTCAAGATATCTGACTTCAAAATTTTCACAAATTTGATTCACAGAAACAGAATATTCGTTATGCAACTAAAACCTTAAAATTACAAAAAAAAAAGAGTCTCAAACATTCGAACATCGAACTACGTCGAGTTCTCACCTGTGTCATGATGCGGCTTCTCTTCAACAACTTTGTCCCGTAACTTTCTTTTTGTTCAGCCGACAGCGCAGACCATTGACCGTCGAGCTCCTTGGTTGTCACTGGTATTATTGATGTCCTAAATTTGAATGAAATAATAAGTAATTGGCCAACAGAAATACCAACGATAACTTTCTATCAGTAAAGCGTTATAAACAAGAGCTTAATGTTAACAAGCAATTAGGTTTTAGGTTCTTAACTGACTTCCGGCCTAGAGTGCCTCATCACAACTAACCTAATCCTAGTGACCTACTGGATATCCCAGCTCCATTAACGTACCCTACTAAATATACTATAATAAACGAACACGCCAGTGAAATACAGACCTGTACATATTGGGTTCGATAGAGCAAACCTGAATCCCAAACGGACCCAATTCTGCTCGCAAGCCATCGCACAGCGCTTTAGCGGCGTGCTTTGTCATCGAGTACGCTACAAGCGTAGGCGGTGCAAATCGCGCTGACCAACTGGTAGTAACTACCAAACGTCCTGATAGAAGACAATCATCCAAACGAAGCGTTAGAAATCCTATGTAGTTGCACAAATAACCACATTGTGATAAGGAATGATCCACCGAGTGAAAATACAAAGCAGCTATATCGATATAAAGTATCCAGGTTGACGAACAAGCCGCCACTCAAATTCGTGTACTTATTCAATAGTAAGTGAAAATACTACTGATGCTGCCTGCCTTGTCGACTCACATCTGCCAAACAAAAACATAATGAGAACTATTAGGATCTTGTTTCGACCCCATGGTAGGCGGATTGGAGCTGGACCGATAGGGATCCTTGGCATAGTTACCGATACTGCTTACTGAATATAGTATCTAAGTTTTTTTTTTCACAGATAACAAATAATTAAAGCAAGATCAAACCTTTTGATTTACGTAGAAGTGGTGCGAACGCCTGGAACGTTCGAATGACTCCAAATGTGTTGACATTGAATAGTTGTTGTATTTTTTCTATCGACATCCATTCGAGGTACCCGTAGGTGCCGATCCCAGCGTTAGCGACCACCGCCCACAGCTCTGCGAAAGGCGCACAAAGGGCCACATGCTGGATAAGTTAAACGGTTATATCTCGTGTTATAAAGAGGCTTTACCGAACCGATGTTCGCTTGTCAGTTGTGATTATTAAGGTTTTGCAACGTGTCTTCGATGACTGTGGGTGTGGTGTGATCTTAGCCTTATAAAGTAAGAACAGCGTAATCGGGCTCGACGAGAGCCTTCAGAAGTGATCAAAAGACCACCTGCAGAGGTCTGGGGCGTTAACCCTAGTAGTTTCTATGGTATAACTAATTAGCTTAGTCTTTGATGTAGACGAGTTAAGTAAATTGTTATTTCAGTATATGCGTATTAACCTTGTCCGTTGAGATGGCTTTTAACCTCTTTGACCGCTAGTTGAAGACTTTCTTCGCTCGTAACGTCACAGGGTACGACAGTTAATCCCGGTTCCAGGCTTTTGTCGCCGGCACCTTTTGAGGCTCTACTACCTTCTTCATTAAGTCTGTCTGCCTCACCCGCGTCCTTGAGCAATTTCACGGCTCCAGAACCTTCAGGAAAGAGACATCCTGCAAATACTTGGTATCCCTGAGATCTTAGCTTCAAACTTAAATGGTATCCAAAGCCGCTATCGCACCCTGTAAGCATATTAACGAGCATATGATATTCGGTTAGCTCGCTGGTAATGCTCGATACCAAGAAGCACGGCGGAATAAATGAATTCCAGCAGTCATAGACTGATTTAAGCGACTCTGTGTGTAGAAAGGCATGTGAGTAGTTCTACCATAATTCTACAGTAAATAGCGCTACCTTAGCTCAGTAACGTAGCCGAAATTCTGCTTAGTAATTGGCCACTCGTGCCGAACGCAACGTCATATGTAGGTATGATAAGAAATTTAGATTGATCCTCCGCTGCTGTTTACCGTCAATGTTCACTTCGATTTTTCCTCTAATGTAACCAAATCCTATAGTAGTTCACTAGTTTTTTGAGCACTAAGTAATGGACTAGCAGTTTAGGCATTTATAACATAGCAGGATACCTTCAATATAAGCAAGTGTTTTCAATGCAAAATGAAGGGTTAATCCCAACAAGTGGGCATTGGAGAGCGTTTCTTCTTGCTGCAACTGCAGTCCAATCTTGGCTGTCTCTGCCGGTAGCCGCGCGGAAAAGAAAACTGGGAAAGCAAGTAAAAATCGAATTCCGATAGTCGGACGGCATATAACAGAGATCTGAATGAGCGTTCTCTATATATTTCGGGCCGACCGGTTCGATATTCATGGTTTAAGAACAAGACCCCAAAAAAAAGCCAGGCGGATCCGATGCAGTATCAGACAGTCATCAGCACATGCTATTTAGCCAAATGGCCACATTAATTATAGTTGCAGATGCTGTTATAGCTTTTGTTTACAGAGGGCTCGTTTATCTTCAATCATAGTTCCATGTAGAGTGTACTAAACTACATTGGAATGGCAAATATTGTCGAAAATCCTATCATAGGTTTTGTTTGTTTACCGTTGCTCAGACGGCGGGAAAAGGAGTGTTATAAGTTTTTCTGATGTTTTTATCATTGGCTATAAAGGTTTAATGCGGCTTATATAGTGGACCCAAAGAAACTTTCACGAGTACAGGGTAACTTTTAAAGTACGAAAAATTTACGGTCTCGTATGACGTTACTCAGCCTTATAGGTAATATTACGACATATAATATCAATAGGGTATTTAATCGGTACGATTCTCGGTCTGACCAATTGGAGCTGTGGTTAATAACTTGATAACATGCATTTTTTCTATAATTAAGGAGTACGGAAATGTATCGTAGGTCAATAATGATTACCGGGACTCCTCCGCCAAGCAAATAAGCTTCTCGCTATAGCACGCCTTACTAGACCTTTCACTTGGATCTTCCCTTGTAAAATATGTCTCATTTTTGCTCATATAGCGAACCATTATGCTTTTCGGAGGCCCGGAAAATTTTCAGTCGTAACAAGCTTCGTTTAGGCATGTTTTTCTATTAACAATAGATACTATCAAAAGTAAGCAATGAATACCATGCGTGTGATGTAGAGTGCGATTCAAAGAAAGGTTCACGGTCCAAAGTCCTGTATTCCTTTGAGCCTATGTTTTATTAAGGAACTGAATAAGGAAATACACAGGCGTAATTTACAATTGTTGCCAGCTGACCACTATTATATACCACATATATATATATATATATATATATATATATATATATATATATATATATATATATATAAACACAGTGACAAAAATACGTGTAGAAAATTCAGCTATACATAAGGGATGTGTCTAATCCTGAAACAGAGAAAGATACGGCGACTTCTGCAGTCTCATAACAAAAGCCTGCCATAGGGGACCTCCAGGTTCAGGTCAAATAAAAAACAAAGGCATCTTCATTTGTTATTATTTATTATACAAATGATCTTCAATGACAGTATTTTTTAGCTTTCTGCATTAAAGAGGAACGGGTGAAACGCTATTGTCGTTTTACGCTTCATTCCACAAATGATAATAGCGTCAAATATCTGTTTTCGTAGTAACATATCGCTAGTTGAACGCCTGAACGGTAAACAGCAAAGCACTATATTCATCGAGATATAAAAATATAATAAGACATATTGGGGTCTCCGCTGTAGAAAGCATGGCATTAGTACCTGCATAACCATTCGTGCAAAGTCACACATGACCGATTACCTAGCAGATAGCGTAGACAACAAATAAATGCCTGGGGGTATTCGAAACAGTAAGTAGCTAGACGACAAGCAACAAGTATTACATTATTAAGCATTAACAGATAAAAAAAAAGAAGTGTTTGGATGAAGGAAGCGATTATATTTAACAGATAGGCAATTCGCGACGCTGAGCAAAAATTAAAAAAAAAATAAACATGGCTACTTTTTATGTTTAATTATATATATATAAATATAGACAATAATTAGCGACAGAATTGCAACTATACAAAACCCGCTGTGTAGCGTCACACATACATATGTCATATCCGTCTATTTATATTTATATACCCTAACTTGTACTTACCTACGTTTGCTGCAGTTGGCAAAACAAGACACAAGACGAGCCGTGTGTGCCAGGAGTATACATTCTTTATTTACAAGTCAACTATCGATACTGTATTTAGTAAATAACTATTTTAACTTTAAATATTTTAACGTGTCACACCATAAACTTCAAGTCAAGCATCATGTGGCTTGTCCAGTCAGAAACTTATACGTTCATCACGCGTGCAATGCTCAATGAAAGTGGAAAAAATTGCCTAAAGGTAACTTAGTTGTTAATTAAATGAGTTAACGATTGGCCCGACTCGTTGTGTATGTTCTTTTGAGTCTTTCTACCTCAGGATACTGAGCCTTGATAGTCTTCATCTAATACAAAAATAAATAAAGCTAAGTTTTATTTAAAAAGCATATACGTGTTGCTTAGCGGTAAAGCACGAGAAATAGAGTCGGTATTACTTAGTCGGCTCAACCCACTTCTGGTTTTGATGTCCATATGGGGAAATTTGCTAAATTTTACTTTACTTTACTAATTTACGTGACACAATAAAGTCAAAAATAAAATTTTGTAAACACTGAATAAACAGACCCCAAAAGAACTAACCTGTAATGAAGACCGCCTTTCCCTTCGACGACAGCCGGACCAGGTTAAGGACAATCAGCACTATCTGAGCAATTAAAAAAGCGATCGTAAGAGAAATCGGAGACAAATAGAGCCATGGAGGAACCCTCCATTGTTCGGCTAATACAAGAAGCTTCTCGCGGACAATGGCCCGGCTAGACAGGAATACAGAAATGACGCCGCACACCAGCCATATTAGTAGACGAGCAAGCCAACCCATTTTGTAAGACGAATTGTGCTGGTTCGGTATGTAGAAGCTGTTGCGCGGGGCCGTCTGTAAATTCTCGTGTACTGCAGAAAACAATGAAAAGTTTATTATTCATCAATCGATTTTCAAGGGAATTAAGTCGTTATTCTCCATAAGCTTGCTCTTGTTTAAACTCTGTGGGCTAGAAAGGACCCAAAGTTCCTGGTAGCTTTCAGTAGCTTCCAGTTCCAGGTCATTGTTTGACATAAGGCAAATGATAATCGTACACAAGTAAAACGTTCCAGACCTTTTTAGTCCTATAATCGGATGCTTATACCTTGGCACTTCAAAAAAGCGATGCAGGGATCCACCGTTCGTCGATGTGCAGTGGATTCGCCTACTATACTAGGGCAATGGAGAGCGTCTGACGATATTTTTTGGCTTAAAATTACTTGAAAGTTCTAGCAAACCGCTCATAAGTCCTAAAATAGAAATAGATACAATTTTCTTCGTAGAAACCAATAAACACGGCTAACAGTAATTATTATATAATGAAAATTAGGCGCAAAACAATTATTGAAGCTCTGACTGACAAAGATTTTAGCAGCCGGAGTTCTAAAAGCTGCAACTGACGTGTTACACGCAAAACAGGCAAGTATATCTACAGCTTTGAAAAAGCAGGTTCTATACGTATTAGCTAGAATACTTGTTCTGCTAAATTAAACTGGTTGAATTAAATTGCTTTACCTTGTCTAATTACTATGCACTGAATCGTTTTCCGCCATTGCCCGATATCGTTTACCCTATACTGTCTACTACGATGATCGTCTGTATTAGCACGGTATCTGCTTATTATTATCTACGCAAAATTCATTCTGTCCCACTACGGACCTTTCAGTACCCCTATCCAGACTACATCACAACCTAACAATGCTGAGTGTCGTTATTTTGGTATAGTATAGTAGTGGTAGAATCTATCCTAGAAAAATTGAACTACTTTTCTGTTATCGTTTGCCTTTTGATGCGACTCTAATGCGGTTAATTATACCGAACGTGTACAGTATCCTAGAATACTGCTTACTCTTTCGCATTGTGGTCAACTGTGTATAATTCATTTTCAACGTGCATGACGAACCTGCAACTACACGTTATGCATGTGTATCATACATAAAAAATGTTGGTCAACGTCACGGGATATTCAAGGGAAGAAAAGTCGAATAATATCAAACCTGTTTACGGGGCCGAGAGTGACGCAAGATAACTGGTAATAAAAAGGAAATGTATAAGGAAATATGCTGTTTACGTCTGTTTGGTACAGCAGACGTTAACGTATGGTAACTTAACGAAATAGGAGGTCGCACCAAACAGCTGCCTGGTAACACAGTCACTTTCAGTATTATTTTTTGTTTGCTGCGAAGTATTCTGCAGTGGACAGAATAATAATAGGCAAAATTTTTAGATATTCTAAGTATGTTATTTTACAAGGCATCTATGGATCAATTCACGCACCCTAGAAACTCGGGGTCGAGGGTCGCATTGCAAATAATGGATTGGAACCAATTATGGTCCCGTCGAAAGGCATGAAATCTTAATGGCTTGAACTAGACTCGTGTTTCCGCGCTCGTATCAAGATAATTTTGGAGACATATTTAACGCAATTGTTAATGGGATATACGACTGTTTTTGTTCGACACGGGGTTGAAGACCCACTGCACCAACGCCTGATGCTCATTGCTAGTTTCGACGAACATTGTTAAACATCCCGTCACTCATATCGCATCGTTTTTCCTAACTAACTGAGTACAAAAGTCCTATCTTGCTTATGTTAAATCTAACTAGCATAGAACAAAATGAGTACAAGTGCCAAATTCCTAGTACAGAATGAAAATCTAAATAGAATTAAGCAGTTTTTAATAAAACGTGTGGTTCAGCTAATCACATATATGTCTGGCTGGAAAAAGCTTGTTTAGGGAAAAATTAAGCAACACTCACATAAAGCAATTATAATGCCAAAGAAAAGGGAAGACTTATAAGGATGAGTTGTAAGAGTCTAGGGTATGCGCGCACTGGGATAATGGGTGCTAGAAGTATAACTGGAAAAAAAACGTTCGAAATCCCATCATTACAAGCGGCAGAATTATGATATCATCGGTAACTAGTGGCCGTCCAATGCAAGCTACTGCTTTTATCAATAAATAGAAAGTAGAGTAAATAGTCTATTACTGGCTCCAGACTATTTGAAGTCATCGTGCCGCAACGGATATACATACAGCTCTAACCTAGAGATCATTTATTAGGTAATACTGAAGTATATTGGAAGACACATATTAATAAAGGTGTCTTTATTGGTGATAAATGGTACTAGAAAAGATGGCCACTAACTAACTAGAACTTGATAGATAAAAAAAAAGCTTGATAAATATGTTCGTCTATTCTACAGTTAAAACAAATTCTAATACAATTCTTCTGTCATTTTGCTGCCATCAGGAATCACTCAAACACTCACTGTCGACTGCTCGTATAAAGTAGCTTATTAGTAGTTCGGGAAAGCTTTTGTGAAAAATTACACCCACGACGACAAGCTTATATATATATATATATATAATAGATTTATAGAAGTTCAAGGGTTTGCCGATTAAAGTAGACTTCAGGAGAAATCCGTCCGATTCAAGAGTAAAAAGTAATGCGCAGTAGGAGTTGCTATAGAAGTGCAGCGGCCATAACTAAATTGTTATTGGCCCAGAGTGAACTGGATTTTTGCGAAAACAGCTTTTAATATAATATTTTCACAATTAGGAGCCGAATAGGTCAATTTCTATATGCTTAATATTCCCTACTTCAGACACGTCCCGACAAACACGGTACTGTTTCCGTTATTTACGCGGATAGCGTACTGTTGTTATTTTGAAAATGTCTGATTTTCTACTAAATATTACACGTTTTAACTCAGGTCTAACTCACCCTAGTGAAAGGGTGCCTCGCAGACTGAACATTGCAAGCGGAGAAATCTTCGCTCAAATGCTCAGTTTATATAGATTAGGTTGTTTTTCATATAAATATATATACTACTTATAAGATTATATTAAAATATGAACCATAAGTGAACAGGAAAAATCATCTATAATAAAGGCGGAAAAATGTAACGCCTGCATCAGATCGGTATCTCGCTCATCACGTACATAGCAAACCTTCTCCACATTCGTATGGTACGACACACAAAAGGATCAACCTGTTACACGATGACGTAAAACTCCAGCTCCATATTTCAATTAAGGCCTATTCTGAATTAGAAAAAAACGTGCAAACTTCTTATGCTAGAAATTAGAATACAAAGTGGCGTTTCATATGGCGGTATGATTCAGAAAACAACAGAGGATCGATACTTTTATTCTTTGTTTGTTTTTACCAAAAGCTATGTACCCCAAATATACATGAATTACTAAGTCATTATAGTTGATTAACAAGTGCGCTTGATTGCTAAGAAATTATTGCTGGGGGTTGTTGCGACAACTGCGAATACAAATCTATAATAGCTTTTTTGACCTAGCGCATAATTTAAGGGTCTTTTTACTTGTCAAACACTTAAGTGTATGTAAAGTTACTATTTAAGCTAAATAAAATTACTCGTATTGTATGCGCCCATTTTACCTATTAATCATTTTTAGGCCCTCTTTACCGTTTATTCTCATCAACATCGTCCCTAACTCACACAGGCTGTAGTCGACCCTTGAATTCGGTTGCTCCGAGTAAGACTACTTCAAAACTTTTCGTGTGACTGCGATAATCTTTACGAACGGTTTGTCATTATAGCTAATCAAAGGACACCAAAAGACCTGTCCACTGGCGCGTTGTTATCACTAGTGAACGCGTCCGGTATTTTCTCTAAGAAAGATATCTTTAACGGCATAAAGAAGTCGAATACTAAGAGACGCTGAGTTCTCTACAGGACGACACCGTTCCAATCAACAATAGCTATTTATAGCGAAACACTATCAATTTACCGCAATTGTACAAGTAATACAAGAAACTCGGTCTCTCTAGCCGTCCATCTGATAAACAACTCCGTTGATGAAATCGTTGGAGCGATGGATTTCGGCGTAGTTTCAGTAGCGTTATTGAGATCTCGGCCGTTTTGCCATGCTTAGCCACCAGCTGCGAGTTTGATTGGTCGTGAGTTGTGCACACCGGGAACGTAAAACACTCAGCCGAAACGAAGACCGATTTGCTTTTGGTCGTTACGTATAATGTACACAATCACAAAAAAGTACTTCTTCATCAGCTCGCACGTCTGTCTTCCGTATAGTGTTTCTGTTATCGTTGACAGTGGAACGGCTCTAGGAAGAAAATCGTCGGTCGGCCATTTTTTGACGGTCGCCAAAGAGAAGCGTTAATCAAGGCTCGAGCATGAGTACATTCACGTTAACACTCCATATTCGCATCGACTCTTTCCAAGGCTATAAACTATCCATAGTTAACCGTGTCCCCACGACACGATAAACATACAAGTAGATAGGGGCTTGCGAACACGCAATGAGAGAAACGAGGAGAGACGCGACTCTGACGACCGGTTTCGGTAGAGCTTTCAAGCAGGTTCATTGATGGGCAGCTACACTGCTGCAAGTGGCTTATCAACGACGATGCTAAAAGGAGTAGATTACGATAAGAAAGAACGAAAATGGTTGTTATTTACCTGTGCCTACCGGCGTCCTAGGTGTTGATATCAGTTCTTTGTTCAATGCTGCTGCTCCACGCCATAGCACTGGCGCTGATTTGCGTCAGCGGTCGCTGTAGTGGCACTAACATGAAGCAAGCATGTGAAGTTCAGCAAGAGCTGACAATGAGAGCTTCTAGTAAAAGTCGCGGCGCATGCGTTGAGAATGCATAGAGCTGCTTCTGCTACCACAGGCGATAGAACGAAAGCGACAGAGCGTGTGGAGCGACGGAAGAACTGAACACGCGGAGCGCATATCACCGGCAACTGCTGACGGCGATTGTGATGATGATATGACGGCGATGGAGAGATGGAGCGGGCGACTAGGAGAGAAGCTCCACAACGAAACGTGTTAACGATAGACACCCCATCTGCAGCTGCGCGAATATCAAAATGGCGGCAGTACCAGAAGTAAAACGTATAGGCAAGAAGCTGATTGAGGCAAACAAGCTATCTATGTACTAGCACACTCTAAATTGAAAAACTGTTCATGTCTATGTAAATATAAATCTAGTTCATAGAGAACAGTTACTGAAGAGTGCAGGACACGTCGGTCACAGCGGTTACTTCTTTTTGTTCCAATTTGTGCTAATTTACGTAAAAATGTTACATGTAATTAACATGTCCAAATTTTTACATGTAAATGATAATACAAAAGTGAAGTAGATGAGAGAAACATACATGCGAAGCTATTAGCAACAAATTGTCTTATAAAAAGTTAGCTTTTTATAGGACATTTTGTTGTATATATATATATATCAGATTACATACACCACGGACAAATAATGGCATATTTGTACATTTATCATGATTGTACCACGATTAGTGGATGTATTGTTACATGTAGAGCACTGTTAGAGGTTTATATGTGAAGCTACATCCATCGGACATACTGAAGGAGTGTTATGAGTACTATAACTCATATCTATCATACATACACAAATAAAAGTTACGATATCCTCCTCTTAGAGGTTAGATTTCAACAGCTACTATTTGCCTAAAGTGTGATCTGTGCCTTTGGCATGGCACGAGAACTTATTCTATTCGAAGTCCACAGTTCGTTTCGGATGAAGCTTCCGTTTTCTACAAGTCAATGTCTAATCCCCTTTTCGTTTGAATAGCGTCAAATAAAGATGTTCGTTCTCTGCAGTAGCAGATGGTATCGTGAAGCTTATTTGCTGCAACTAAGTTTTTGGGAAGGGTAGTCCCGAAAAGAGACATGTCGATATAGTTTCATATAAGGCCTTTGCATTTGAATAATTTAGGTTCAATAGGTGAAGTAAGTCAAAAGTATATGAAGTTTCCCAACGATTATATCGCATGAAACTAACCAGCGTGTCACAATGCATAAATTCTTATAACTGTTTTTACACAATATTCTACACTAGCGACGCTAAATAAGCACCTCATTGTATTTAGCTATCACAGTCAACTACCTTTGTCCTACTTGTTCACCTAACTGGTTTGAAGTATTTCTATATAGCGACAACCAAGATGCTGCCCGTCACTGCGTACAACAGTCTTGATTGAAGCAGTTTCTGTATAAGCATTTAAAAACAGTCGTATTTTTTAAATAGTAATAATAGTATGTTTTACAGCACATTTCCAATGCGAGTGAAAGCACGAAAATGATATAAAATAAAGGGTTAACATGTAGCTACGTGGCAAAGGTGTCGAATGCTTTTTTTTTTTTGTTCTTTTTAATATATGGAGAACCTTTCTTAGCACATGTTTATTTGATGAACTTTTATCTGACGATAAGAGAGATTTCGGTTACTCTAACGCTTGGTTCCTGTCCGATACCTGTGCTCTAACCATGTCTTGCTAGAGGACAAAGAGGCTCATAATAGTATGCACAAATATGGTAACATGACCTCCGTCCCCAAGACTCACCACGACCATGGAATGACAACCCGTACGAAAATTGGCAAGTCAATAGGCAAACCGGCACTCGCTCCATCCATTGGCATCTGCAGCGAAAACCTGGCTTTGAGCTGCTTAACATTAGGACCAGACATGAGTCATGACGAACGCGAGCGATGGCGCTGTAGACGTCCGTGAAGCGTTGGATGACGCGAATAATGTTTACGGTTGTTAGGCAATTCGTGATTGTTACCGTCAACTTCCTCCAAGCGACTGGTGGTAAATCTATTTTTTAAATGTAGCACAGTGAATCTGTGTGTTGCTGAAGTGTTTCCCTTAAGCATCATGATTTAGTTTCTACTACAATGATTGATTTCATAAGCCGATGCCGTCCAGGCTAACGAATCATTCCGTGCTGCTATTTGGTTAGTATAAACGCAATGATTGGATTCAAGGGTAGCTTGTAATGTCAGCAGAACAGTGATAAAACATGACCCGTTGGAGAATCCTACTGCTTAAGATTATGTGGCCGCGACATATTCGTCGGCTGTTGGCCTGTAGAAAACATATGAGTGTATTTTGTTTCGTCCTGTTTAATTGAAATTCCCGCGGCTCCAGTTTCCTCTCTGTACGCCGCATGGTTCATTAAGTTCGTTATATAATCACGTATCTACATGCAGGAGGCGCGTGCAAGTTGTAACGTTTATTTTATTTTTATCCTGATTTGGGCCGTGTTCAGCAAACTAATTTGTCGCTTTTGAGTGAAGCATGCGCTTTAACAGCCAAGTTTTTATTGTTTTTGCGTGCCTTTATTCACACACGAATGTTTATGATACTGTATTATATATATCGTTTAAAGGCGGAATCTCAATTACATCAAATGTGACGAAAACTGTTAATGTCTTGCGAAACGCAAAGCATAAGGCCGTGAAGTGCGAATACTTCAAACGAAAAGTAGTAGAGTACATTATTTGCATGAGTTGCGTTAACTTTAACTATCGTAGGACAACTTGAAATATACAACTCAGTGGTCTGGAACGCCTGAACAATGCGACTGGGCACTCAGAATAGAAACATTGAGCGAAGCGATTTGGAGATTAGCGGCGTAGGAGTGTGGCTGTTGGGGTTCGTATTCATGGACGGTTCGATCAAATGCTAAATGTGGTCGAATTTCAAAATTTAAAGAATCAGGTAAGGTGTATAATAATACATCTATCAGTTTGCCGCACACAAACGTTGCGAAAAAGCTGGCTAAAATGGTTCGTGGCGAAATGGCAAATATTAACTGAAAATATCGTGCAGGTCTCCTTCAATGGACTTCTATTAGGAATGACCTACTACAGGTGAAAGGCTGCTTGGCGTCTCGCCCGACCATTGCGATACCCTGTCGCACTCGAGACAAGCATATCTTCTCTTTTGTCGTGTCCGTCGCCCTGATTAAGGCGGATGTCATAGTCGCAATAGTAAGTGTAGAATGATTGGTCGCCCTGTTAAATGCGACGTAGCTGTTGACATTGCTGCAGAAAAGATATAAAGGAAGGATCGCCCATGAGACCTTTTTTGGTCTGTTTCGTTGGTATGACGTTCGTTTTTGGTTGATGTAAACCGACCTCTTCGGCTATCGGTCTTTTGGAATTGGATGGAAATAGATAGATTCTTTTATTGTCCGTCCGAAAAGTATTTGCAATGTTTAGATTACTTATTATTAGATTATAGATAGAAATAGGAAAAATAAAGAAGCGCAAACCCAGACAATCGATAGATAACTCATCCTTGCGGATCCTTTTGTTAATGACGTATCTTTGACGCCAAGCATCTTAGTACATGCCTAGGTTCTTTTCTATAATAAAAGATGGTACAACGTATCGAGGAGTGAACCATTTTGGGTATTTTATGATATTATACTATGAAAGCTGTATGGTGAATATTGGCCATTTCTTTATTGATACGTTAAATGATGCGCACCTCGAGATGTAAGCAAGGCTTCTATAATCGAATATTATGTAATAAGAAGCAATAAGCGATGTGATGTGATATTTCTAAGTAAGGCTAGGTTTGTACGTGGGGCATTTCACTGCAATACTCATAATTTGAACGTAGTATATTAGATGTATTATATAGGAATGATACAAAGCTAGACACGCTCCCCTAACGGAAATCTGGTTTTGCAACGTCACTGAGTATTGTCGAGGTTTTCCGAGCTGTGTACTCTTTATTTTACTGTATTTATTAAATATAAAACATTTTGGCTCGCCTTAGATATAAATACAAAACTTCTGAAACCATTTCAAATTACTATTTTTGCGTTTTTAGAGAAGTGAGATACGAAATCTTCTTTTATTATCAATTCCTTTATCGAATAGTGCGAGTTCGGCTGAAAAACTTGCACAGGCGAACTCTGACTTTGGAGAAACCAAAGATAGCTCGTTTGAAGCCCAATAGGTTACATATACGATATGCATTTTGTTAACTACAGATTCGTACATATTTTGATAATATACCACATGAGTGTATCCACATTTACCTATTTATAATCTAAGGAGCCAGCTTTACAGCGGTTTTTCCGCAAAATCTCTTTTACAGTTACAGTAAAAACTTTTCTAGTACTGTCAAAAGATCCTTTCCCCACCGTATGTGTTGTCTCCGTTGTTACGCAAATGCTTAATAACAACCAATAGTTTTATCATTATGTTGACCAACTTCTACTTAATATTCTTTAAAAAAAAACTATGACTGTCCTCGCAGATATTCAGCTGTCACTACTTAACTCTAGTCTGTAAACTAAAGCTACGCCAAGTAAATGTCTACAATGCATAAAAAGGCCGATTACATAATCATATAGTCAAGGCTCGGAAAATGTCCTATGTGGAAAACTGGCGCACATGCGCGTCGCCATATACACACAATCAATACGAGTATAGATTCATTAAATCTGCCAGACGCAGTCGTGAAGCAAAGCACATGCTTCTTCGATTTACTGAGGTTGGGTCTAATATTTCAACCTCAATGTGAATGATCCTACTATCGTTTCATTGGTGAATGTATGTTATCCTTTATTGTAATTCATACACAGTCATCAAACAAAATCTCCCTACTTATATTAAACCCTACTAAAAACCCAAAGTATATTACTTCTTAGTCAACGAAGACACACCGTTAGTGGACAAAAAAAAAAAAACAATCTTTTTAAAAATGTGCTTCCTCTGCATACACATGTGCATAAACATTTTGTTTAGATAAAGTCGAACTGTATACTGCTGCTAGAAAAATCGTTTAACTCTTCTCGACGATTCTGCTAACACTTACTTGATGCAAACCGCTCACGCATGTTCACGTTTACCAGGTTTTACTAAATCACAGTTTATTCAATAAGGGATCCTATTCAGTTTAGTGGCGGCTCAAGGCGTTAAGCACGTCTTATTCAGATATTCAAAAGCTGTTTCCTAGAAGCTAAAATCTCGTTTAGCGTTGGATCCCAACAATAACAGCAACAGATCGATGTTCAATGCAGCGATTGCCGTAAGCTTCTCGTATCAGAAGCTTCTGTCCAGCGGCCACATTCTGCGAACCTGCATACAATAGCAGAGATTCACATTTATCTGTGACTCTGTTCTTGTTTGTTCACAAGGCAACATAGTTATATAGAATATGAATCGTATTTATTTGGTCAAACTTTTAACTTGACGTGTATAGCGAATAGCATCGTTGCAATAATAATTTGCTTAGCCCTCAGTCAATTAGCAGATGGAGGTATCATTTGTATGCAGACTCATAAGCCGTAAAGTTTCATTATTATATGTACCGAAACGTAGCGCCAACGTTGATTGTAGTTTAGTTAGAGGCTCCTGTCACTGGCCAGTATTAGCAAACTTAAATCACAACTTAAAGCGCAATTAAAACAGCAAAAATAATTACAACAGTATACGTACCTAATCTTTTGTATAGATACACATGTTTACAAGATCTGTTGGCGTATTACCTCAAAACATTAATATTTTTATTTTAGACACAGAAGGTTCAAGAGGCATACCAATTGGTTTCCCGCAATGAAAGTTTGTATGTACGATTAGATCGTATTTCTTTCACTTCCTAGCAAACGGTTCAGTAACGGTCGAGTAGCTAGAGAACTGACAATTTAGGGACCTTACTCCGCGTGGTGATAATCGATAATCGATACACTTCAAAGCGGAATGCACAAAAAACCATTACCGCAAAACTGAAAAGCCAATCCAGAGGTGCGACTTCAGGTTTTTAGACACTTTTGCGTCCAAGTACTACCATTTTCAGTCTTTGCGATCTCTAATAGATACGGAAAGCTAAAAATAGAATGTTACTTTAATAACGAGACAGTTTTTTATTAAGCCTATATAAATCTTATCTCCGCCGACTTTCATCGAAATGTTATCCCTATCAGCCTGAAAAGTCGGAAAAAATGTAAGCATGTGAACAAAGATTTAGAGTGTATTGAAAACACAAACGAGTATGGAAGCAAATAACGATAATTTTTACTATTTATTATACATGTATACATCAATGTTCAATTGACTGTACAATCCATGTTGGGTGAGAAATCTATTTGAAGTCAAAAGACATCTACAAAAGCGCAACTTTCCTATCTACGTGCACTGGGGAGTCGATCTTGTATCGGCCATCAAATCTGGCTCAAGCAAAAGTCAGGAGAAATTTCCATGGCAAGGGAACAATTTTTTTGTTAGGCCCCCTACAACTAGCCAAATAAGAAAAAATAGACGTGTATTTCATCAACACGGATGTTCCAAAAATCATATCCAAAATTAACTAGACGTAACTTTAATAGTCACGACAATACATGTATAGCAAATGCACATAATAATATTCGATTCCATAAGTAGACTGACGTTCCTGCAATATACGGTATTAAATGTATGCAATTTAATTCTTAACTATAACGACATACGGGTTTGCGCAGTACCTAGAGGCGACGATAGGTAATGGATTTACAAGAAACAGTACACTGCATAATACTTCCTATCTCTCTGTGTACAAAGTAAGAAAACAAACTGAATTAAACGAAGACGAAAGCAGAGTCAGCAGTATTTTGCTTGTCTGTCTCTGCAACATTCTGCTAGAGATACTGTTCCGTTAATATTTTCGAACTGGGCTTCTTTGCAGCAGTAGTAACACCACGAGCATCACCACTACTGTAAACTGTAGCCCACTTTGCAAAAATTTATTATAATCGATTGCCAATCAACATTTCTTCCAGCGAATCGAATCAGAGTTCAAAGGTTAGAAGCGTAACGTTCTAATAAAAAAGGGATAGCTCTCGATGTATTTTATCAACTTCGTCCATTCTAAATGCTGTAGGGAAAACAAAAAACGACTCGCGCCATCTATTCACCTATCAAACAAACCTAGCAAGCTCAACAGATTGTAAACGCATGCTATCTATTTTCTATATCTCTGTCCATATCTATAAGGTGTACCTAGTTATCAAATACAATTCGCTTGTTCATTCGAATTTCAATTTTTCTCTCGGCCTGATTAATATACTTTTTATACTTCTCATTCAATCTCTGCCGACCTCGCGGTCGTCGATTATTCTTACGAGGTGCATCCTTCTCAGAACTGTTCACGTTGGCGCCATCTTTAGTTTTTGTTCGGTTTGATCGCTTCTTTCGTTGTTGCATCATTTCGACTGTTTGCCAGTAACTTTCCTCTTCCTGTCCGTCGAGGACCGTGCATTGCGCGATAGTGAAATTTTGAATTGCATCCTTCTCAGCAGCCGTTGATCCGGGCTGGTCGGCTGTTTTGCCATCTTTGCAGCTCTGTTGATTGCCGTACGATATGCTAAAAGCCACTGCCTCCTCAGGACTATTAAAACGGATAAAGGCGACTGGGTCGTTTTCGATCATGTCCACATAGGCGACACCGGGTAATACGCGCATCAAGGCCTATCGCAGCACGTGAAAACACAATCAAAACGGAAAACGTGGTTATTTTCTTTCCTCAGTTACATGAGCATTCAAGGTAATA